TGGCCACTATGGCAATGCCAGCTGCAATTTCTAACCCTAACTATTCTATGATTCTCTGTATACTTGAAAAATTATTGAACAAGTTTGCCTAGAATTCTACAGTAGTATGCTACATTTACATTTAAAAATCTTTGATAACCTAATTTTGATTAATTTAATTGCTAAATAAGAATGCTTCTGCTTTTACATAATTTTGAAGACAAAACTGAACGTAACAATCTAGCTGCAATATTTATATGCTGGGTATTTCAGAATGGGTAACTGCAAATAGTGTTTTGAATTCAGTTTCTTCAGGAAGTTTAAATAATATATATGTTACAAAAAGTGCAGAGTTCTGCTTGTTCTTTCAGAACAAAAGAACTTGGGGTGATAAAGTAGACTGAGCTTGTAAAGCTAATGAAACTTCATATTCTTGTTAGGGAGGAAGAAAACTTGAGTGTTACATCAGAACGTGGAAGTGTGCTAGTATTTTTACCAGGTGAGTATATGCCTTAACTTTCTTTTTCCTTACTTGTCATCTAACAAGCTTTATTCTAGAGGTTTATTAAACACATGTTTAACTAGGGTTCATTGGTCTATTTGGGTATTTTTCTTGAAAACTTCTTTAAATATGGCAATAATTGGAAATGCTATGAGTCAAAAGCAAGAATCTGTATGTTATAAAAAATGAAGTTACAGTAATAAATTGTGCAGGTAATCCAGAGAAATTCAATTGCTCAGTTTTTTAGATTAGCTATTAAATATTTCATTAAGTTGCTAGGATTCTTCTAGAGACATTTTCTTACCTGCATATAGTGTAGTCTTTATTTAGCTTCTTGTAAAAATTAAACCACACTTTTTCCATGTACATTGGAAAGAAATGTTAGTTGTTGTAGTAGGAACGCTCAAAAGCATGCATGATGACATGGCAATTAATGATCAGAGCACTGGTTTTATACAGATTTAGTTTTATTTAAACAGCAAACCTAAATTACCTTACACTGCCTCTAAAATCTAGCTAAGAGATTCAATAAGAATGACAGCCAAAACAAAAGCATACAATAGTATTTGTGTAACTAGGCTGCTGACTTGGTTTCCTGAGCATTGCAAACCTCTATACTTGTTACCTGGTGGTTTCAAGTGTACTTTTACTTTATGAAAGTTTGCTACTTGAAAACTTAGAAAAGACTTGGTTGCATACTAGTGGAAAGTCCTATCTGAGTCAGGAGCAGCTGTTTCCTTGGGCATAGTGGGGTCTGTCGCTACCAGGACTTTCTAACTTTATGTAAAATCTTTATGAATGTCATTTCCCTGCTGTGTTAAGCTTGGCAGTAAACATGTTAGCACTAGGGCTGGAAACTCAGAACACAGCACAGACATACACTGCAGTTGCAGAGTAGCTTTTGGTGGACGGTGCTCCCTGCCAGCTACAAGGTATTTGAGCTGTCTCTCTTGGAGTTACCCGTTCTGTAGAAGGAATTACTTCATCATGTCAATGTAGGACCTGTTCCAGTTTGCCATTAATAAAGTAGGGAGACCATCTCTGGTGCCTGTGGCCTCTCATATTAGAGTTTGTCTGGTGTGGTTTCAGACTTCCTCAGGCCCTCTGAGTCTTCATTTCAGGCTGAAATAACTCTATTGCTTTCAGTTCCCGAAACTTTCATCTTTCCTTTGAGGTCTTTTTTTACTGTGCTGCTGTCCCTGATGGCTTACAACTGCAACTGCTAAAATGAAACTGCTTAAATACATTTTGTCAATTCATGTAAACCTGTGTAGATAGTGCTTTCTGAATGACTTGGTTCTTGGTTTTTACTGTTGTTCAGTGTTTGACCTTGGCCTGTTTTGTAATTGGATACTCAAGACTGATCTTGAACACAGGATTAGCAAATGCCTCTTGAAATTTTTCTTCACAAATAGTCTTTATACAGAACCGGAGAAAAGGAGAGGAAAGCCCTCAGTTCACAAGAGGGCAGCTGAGGCGGATTTGAATAAAAATAATATCCACATTAGGATACTGATTTGAGACGCCTAGATTTTTTGAGTGCTTAAAATTACATAGCATTTTGTACTTTCAAAATAACACTTCCATTGACATTTTGAGCTGAGTAGGCAGCAACAGCGAGGAGGAGTAGTGCCATACTGAGGAGTACCATTAAGTGATATTTTTTAATTTTTTTTTTTCCACTGCCTTTGTGGAACTTGGTGATGGGGCAGAACCCACTTCCATAGAGCATGCAGCTGTCTTGAGTAGGATGCTGTGGTTTCTTTTCTGTTGTAATTGCCTGTGTTGTTCAGCGTTGAATTTATTTTTTTTTTTTTTTTAATGTTACTGAGTCTGATTCTTTACAGATAAATACCCGTCAGTACTCAGCACTCCTTTGGTTGCAGAGCTAGCATGTAGATAGATATAAGGTGACAAAGTGCCATGTTAAACTGTACAGTGACTTCTTTTTAACATACATGTGTGCATGTGTTCCCAGTGGGCTGCATTAAGTTTGCACAACCAATCTTAATTCTGGAAGTTCTTTTGTTCAAGCACTAGACTTCGTAACCTTAATGTTTCTGGAGTGTTTACGTTGATGTCTAGTTCTTTAGACCTTTTAAGAACAAATTGGAAAAAGAGGTCAGACTGTTGACTGAAACATCACTGAGCTACACCATCAAGTATATAACACACTTCTACGAGACTAGCTGATGGGCTAAATGAAAGCAGCAGTAGGTTGTAATCCTTCAGGAGCGTGCAGAAGGTGGGGAAGGCCTGATTTCTCCGTGATTCACATGCACTTGCTGATGGCAGAAGCTGCACAGCTTAAAGCTTTGGGGCTTTCATTCAGAGGGATTCTGTTCGTGTTCTAAGCTTTTATCTGTTCTACCAGTGTAAACTTCTTTGTCTGTTTTGTGTTTTCTTTTGCACTTGTCCATGCCCCACTCTCCTTACTGTCCTGATATGTTTGCCAAAGAGATTTTTAGTTACTGTTTCATTCAAAGATCTGTCTCTCCTAGTGGCAGCCTTTTGTTCTGGAGGTGTTATGATCAAGTCTTGTCCCTTCCAGAACTGGGCAGCAGATGCTGCCTGCTGTGTCTAATCAGTAATTACTAGACTGATTAATGATTACTATTAATATGGGTTATGTGGAGCCTGATTCTACTAGTCATGGATTGAGCTTCTTAAACGTAAATTGGATTCAAGCCTTAATGTCTTACTTGTATACATAACCAAGCAGTATGGCGAAGAGGAAGCATTAGACAGGTAGTCAAACAGAACCTAGTGTTATCAAGTAGGTTTTGCAGGCTCTGTCCAAACAGACAGGATCATGGTGTTCTTGTATTTTCTCGCTATCTTTAATTATGTGCTCTAGTTCATAAACAAACACTTTTTTTCCCTGGGTTACAATAATCTTAAAAAGTGATGCTGGTTTTCTATTTCCCAGTGTGTATGTTTTTTCTCTACAGTGCTGAAGGTGTTTTTGCTTAGAGCTTTGTTAATTGTTTCATTATTGTGCTAGTCATTAATTTGTGATTTGGCTAGTTACTTGTGTTCTCAAGTACTCTTATTTCATTTGAGCAGTGATGTAAATTAGGCTTCCTTGCTGTCTTTCAGGCTCTAATGACATTGCTTTCCCCTGTAGTAGCCTCACACAAAGGACATCTGAGACTTCTAAATTCCCACT